CACAGAACAGAAGTTCTAAAACTGGTCTCAAGACCCCCTAACACCGACGGACTCAAGGAGCTTGAACTATAGCTATAGATATTTACCAGATTAGACATTTAAATTAAGAAACAATTTTAAATATGTACTGCTTGATTTTTTTATTTTTAGTTTTTGAGGTGAGTCTCCTTCTGTTGCCCAGGCTGGAGTGCGGTGGCACGATCTCAGCTCACTGCAACCTCTGCCTCCTGGGTTCAAGTGATTCTCCTGCCTCAGCCTCCTGAGTAGCTGGGATTACAGTCACCCACCACCATGCCCGGCTAAGTTTTGCATTTTTAGTAGAGACAGAGTTTCACCATGTTGGCCAGGCTGGTCTTGAACTTCTGACCTCAGGTGATCCACCCTCACCTTCGCCTCCCAAAGTCCTGGGATACAGGCATGAGCCACCATGCCTGGCCCATGTCCTGCTTTTTTTTTTTTTTTTTTTTTTTTTTTTGTGGAGACAGAGTCTCACTCTGTTGCCAGGCACCAGGCTGGAGTGCAGTGGCACAATCTTGGCTCACTGCAACCTCCACCTCCCGGGTTCAAGCAATTCTCATGCCTCAGCCTCCCGAGTAGCTGGGACTACAGGCGCACGCCACCATGCCCAGCTAATTTTTGTATTTTTAGTAGAGACGGGGTTTCACCATGTTGGCCAGGATGGTCTCGATCCTTGACCTTGTGATCTGCCCGCCTCAGCCTCCCAAAGTGCTATGATTACAGGTTTGAGTCACTGTGCCCAGCCATGTCCTGCTTTTTTAAAGAATAATCAACCCACTGCATGTTAAATAATTTTTCATTTTTTTTAATCTCATATTTTCCCAAAAGATTTAGTGGAAAGAGTGGCATCATTTTGTTTCTGCAAATCTCTTTAATGCCTGGTTTAAGACAGCTGGAGTCTTGCATTTGCTTCTGTATTCAGTCTGTTACTGCAGCTCATGTCACTTAGTCTCTGGAAAACTACACTAGACTTTCATGAATAGAGAGAAAAAAAACTTGGTATTAAGAAGAGGACCAGGCACAGTGGCTCACACCTTTAGGCGGTGAGCACTTTAGGAGGTGACGTGGGTGGGTCACCTGAAGTCGGAAGTTCAAGACAAGCCTGGCCAACATGGGGAAATGCCGTGTCTACTAAAAAATACAAGAATTAGCCAGGCGTGGTGACAGGCACCTATACTCCAAGCTACTTGGGAGGCTGAGGCAGAATTGCTTCAACCCAGGAGGCGGAGGCCGTAGTGAGCTGAGATCGTGCCACTGCACTCCAGCTTGCGTGACAGAGTGAGACTCACTTCAGAAGAAGAAGAAGAAGTAGTATGGGGAGGAGGGAGGGGGGAGGGGGAGGGGGAGGTGAGGGGGAGGGGGAAGGGGTGAAAGAGGAGGGAGGAGGAGGGAGGAGGAGGAAAAGGAAGAGGAAGAAAGAAGAAAAGAAGAAGGAAGAGGAGGAGGAGGAGAAAGAGGAGGTGGAGGAGAACGGAAGGGGGAGAAGAACAACATTACATATATATATTATCACATTGAATCTTCCCAATAAAATAGCTAAGTACTACTATTATGACATCCTTTTTTTCAGATGAGAAAAATCATTTGCATGAGAATACACATTTAGGAGGTGGAGGAACTGGAATAAGGACCTGGGTCTACCTGACTGCCCGTCTCTGAATTTGAATATTTTTTTGTTTTGTTTTTTGTTTTTGACAGAGTCTTACTCTGTCACTCAGGCTGGAGTAGTCCAGTGGCATGATCACAGCTCACTGCAGCCTTAACCTACTGGGTTCAAGTGATCCTTACGCTCAGCCTCCCGAGTAGCTGGGACTATAAGTGTATACCACCACACCCAGTTATATTTTTTCTAATTTTTGTAGAAACAGGGTTTCACCATGTTGCTCAGGCCGGTTTCGAACTCTTGAGCTCAAGCGATCTGCCCGCCTTGGGTTACAAGTGTCAGCCACCACGCCCAGCCCCATCTCTGAGTTCTTAACCCACACACACTCCTGCACTACTGTGGATGAAAAGCAACACAGGTTTTTGAGAACTGTGACACTAGGGAGATACAGAAATGAACAAAACCAAAAAAAGGAAAGAAAGTATAGTTTTCCCTCTTTGAAGCCACCCTAAAGAGGAAGAATAAACCTTGAAATTCTCAGTGTCAACTAAATGCTAGGTAGGCAGCTTGTGATTAACTTGGGGGATTGTATCATTTTGGGAGAGGGAGGGAGGAAATTGATTGCTCAAAGAGGCTGAGGGACTTTCCCAAGGTCTCATTGCTACTAAGTCAAAAAAATGTATCTTGTCTTAACTTTCCCAAGGTCTCATTGTTACTAAGTCAAAAAAATGTATCTTGTCTTAACAGGGACTCTCTTTCAGGCTTGCATGTTGCCTAGGAAAGTTTATCTATTTCAGCTTTGAGGGTTTGCCCTTTTCAGTTCTTGCAACAAATAGCAACATGTGGGTTGTTAGGGATGTGGGTGGGTGAAGGCCTGCTTTTAAAAGACTGTAGAAAATCCAGGAGGAAATCACATCTTCAGCTGACTAGGAGAACACGTGACTTAGGGATATGGGTTCAAAACAGAGTCCTGTACGTCCTTTGACTCACCCAGCATTTTAACTAATTTTGTTTTTGAATTTGTCAAAACTTATAAGTCATCAGAGTTCCTATTAAAAAAAAGAAAGAAAAGAAAAGAAAGAAAGAAAGGAAAAGAAAACCCAGACTTTGAGGTTTCTCTTGAAAAAGGAAGGCTGGCAACATAAGCCCACTTTCTTATGTGGTAACAAAGGGCTGGAACTAAAATCTGGGAGACAGGCTCGCAATAACTGTATTTGCTCTGTATAAACTCGCTGCTTGTATATTTGCTTGCTCTCTCGCGCTTTTTTTTTTTTTTTTTTTTTTTTTTTTGAGATGGAGTCTTGCTCTGTCTCCAGGCTGGAATGTTGACTATCTCGGCTCACTGCAACCTCCGCCTCCAGGATTCAAGTGATTCTCCTGCCTCAGGCTCCCTAGTAGCTGGGACTACAGGTGTGCACCAGCATGCCCAGCTAATTTTTGTATTTTTAGTAGAGACGGGGTTTCACCATGTTGGCCAAGGATGGTCTCAATCTCTTGACCTTGGGATTCATCCACCTCAGCCTCCCAAAGGGCTGGGATTATAGGCATTAGCCATCCCACCCAGCCATTTGCTCTCACTTTTAAAGATATACTTTACATACAATAACATGCATGAGTCAGCCAGGTGGGGTGGCTCACATCTGTAACCCCAGCACTTTGGGAGGGTGAGAATCACTTGAAGCCAGGAGACAGAGGTTGCAGTGAGCTGAGATGGCACCACTGCACTCCAGCCTGGGTGACAGAGTGACGCTTTGTCTAGAAAAAAAAAAAAAAAGCATAAATCTTAATCATTTAATCGAATGGGTTTCGCAAATTGTATATACCATATAATTACCACCCAATTCAAGATAATACAAATTTCCATCACCTCTGAGCGCACACTCCCCCCCTCTTCCAGTTGATCGCTGGGTCCTGCTCTCTGACTTCTGTCACCACAAATCCATCTTTCCTGTTGTTGAACCTCATGTAAATGAAATCGTAAGATCTGTACTCTTTGTCAGCTACCTTTTTTTTTTTTTTTTTTTTTTTTTTTTTTTTTTTTGAGATAGAGTCTCACTCTGTCTCACCCAGGCTGGAGTGCACTGTCACAATCCTGGCTTACCACAGCTTCCACCTTCTGGGTTTAAGCGATTCTCCTATCTGCCACACTCTCCCAGCAGCTGTGTAGTGAATGCCTACCCTGCAGGGAGGTTGGGTGCATCCCACAGGGAGCCGCAAGTGTAGACTGTCAGAAATTGATCAGTGGAGGAAAAGAAGGAGAGCCAGTACAGCTAGAGGAAGCAGGACCCATCTTGGAGGGTTGTTGGAAAGACCAAGTGATTAAAGTCACGTCGTGCACTTAGAACAGAGCTTGGCATGTGTGCATCACTGCTTTTATTTCTGGCTACTTGGTGCCAGGACAAGGGCCTCAGCTGAGGGCCCCCAGAACCTGGCGGGCACAGTGAAGGAGTGAGAGGGGGAGGCCAAGACTCCTCTCCAGTCAGCAGCTGTCCTGTGGCCATGGGGAGCTGGCGAGGCCAGATCTTCAGGTTGTTCTAGAAAAGTGAACATTCTAGAATTGTTTCAAGCCCCTTGGTTTGCAAAACCTAGTAACGATTTTTTAAATGCTTTGGTATTTGGCCAGGCACAGTGGTTCACACCTATAATCCCAGCACTTTGGGAGACCAAGGTGGGAGAATCACTTAAACCCAGGAGTTCTTGACCAGCCTCGGCAACATAGCAAGATTCTATCTCTACCAAAAAAATGAGAACATTAGTTGGGTATGGAGGTTCATGCCTATAGTCCCGGCTACTTGGGAGGCTGAGGTGGGAGGATCATTTGAGCCCAGGAGGTTGAGCCTGCAGTAAGCTGTGATCATGCCAGCCAGAGTTAAAGTGCCAGGAGGGACATCCAGCCACAGCCCTCACCACAGTGGCAGCCACAGGAAAGTGCAGGAAGCTGTGATCACACCACTGCACTCCAACTTGGGTGACAGAGTGAGATCCTGTCTCAAAAGAAGAAAAAAAAAAAGAGTTTTGGATGCTTTGAGCCTCCAGTAGAATCCTTCGCTGTGCTCCGCTGCTTTCCTGATGTCCTGAGGCCGATGTGGGCTCCTGACCATGGCTCAGTCACTCCTGACAGTTATTCAGGGCCTCAGACACCTCTTGTTTGCCGTGCCTCTGTCTGGAGGAGCGCATGGAAAGGGGTGGCCGAAGCAGTGTTTGCTGTTCCTGTTGGTGCCGCTGCGGTGAGGGCTGTGGCTGGACGTCCCTCCTGGCACTTTGCCTCTGTCCCCTGCATCCCCCGCCAGCATTTTTCCTCCCCCCGTTCCCCCAGCTCGTCCCAAGCCTGCCTGTCCCCGGCGAGGAGGCGGGACAGTGGAAGAGCTGGTGAGTGAAGCAGGATGGGGCCTGGGCTCCACCGTCCCCCAACCTCTCCACGCCATGGGTCCCCCCTCCCCAGGTGAGGGCCCTGGTGGAGGACTGTGTGGGCAGAGTGTGGGGCATGTCGCCTTCCCCACCTGGTCAGAGTTCAAGGGTCCTGGGCTGGGCCCCAGCCTCTCTTCTGCCCCAAGGGAGATCATTCACATTTCCTTTAATTCCCCACCAGAACTAAGCTGGAGTTTGGAGTTTGACCCTCTTGGAGGCTCTCTCAGCAGCAGGGATACAGGAGGAAGGGTCACTGCTATCTCTTGAAGCTCTTGGCGTGTCTCCCTCCGGTGTCCCCCTCCTTACAGCCACCACCACCTCCTAGCACCTTAGAAGCCACTGACAGCCTCCAGGGCAGGTGAGCCCTGCATCTGAAATAAGGTAAGACATCCCCCTGCCCCCAAGCACGTACCCACTCACCCAACTGGGAAGTTGGTCTGGGAACAGGTGCTGTCAGAAGGACTCTAGCTGTGACCTGTGGGGCAAGGGAAGCTCAGCCCTCTCTGCAGAGAAAGCTTGTCACCTACCAGGACAATGGAGTGTGTTTAGGTGGGGGGGCATTTGTATGAAGCCAGCGGCTGGCAGCCGGCAGCACTGTACATGAGATCCAGCTCTTCCACGTAACCAAGGTCAGGGACATTGAACCAAACATTTTGCCTCCCCGAGTCTCAGATTCCTGATCTGTCAAATGGGAATATGAACCTCAGGCTGGCCTACCCCCACAGGTGTGTTACTCAGAGATAATCAAGGTAAATATATCCACATAAGCAGCAAAAAGCAGGAGAAATGTATTTACTACAACTGCAGCTGCTGTTAACTGCAAGGCAAATACAAGTCCTCACTGGTACGTGTCGGACTCACACAGAGAGCTTTACATCCAGATCTCATCTAACTGACACAGAAACCCTGGAAGGTAGGCACAGCCACCCGCAATTCACAGATGGAGTCTAAGGGCCATTAAATAACTTGAGGTCATACAGATAGTGGGTGGCCAAGCTGAGACAATTCCTGTGGCTATGAGCTTACCACAGTATCAGTAATTTTCTTTCTCTTTTTTTTTTTTATTATTTTCTTTCTTTCCTTTTTCTTATCTTCCCTTTTCTTTCCTTTTTTCTTCCTTTCTTTCTCCTTCCTTCCCTCCCACATCTTTCTTTCCTTTTATTCCTTTCTTCTTTCTTTTCTTTATTCCTTCTTCCCTCCTTTCCTTTTTTCCTTCCTTCTTTCTCCTTCCTTCTGCTCTCTTCTCTCTCTCTCTCTCTCTCTCTCTCTCTCTCTCTCTCTCTCTCTCTCTCTCTCTCTTCTTTCTGTATTTTCTTTCACAGTGCCTTGCTCTGTTGCCCAGGCTGAAATGTAGTAGTGCGATCATAGCTCACTACGTCCCTGCACTCCTGGGCTCAAGCAATCTACTCGCCTCAGCCTCCTGAGTAGCTGGGATTACAGGCACACCACCATGCCCTGCTAACTTTCTTATTTTTTCTACAAATGAGGTCCGTGTTGCATTGGCTGTTCTCAAACTCCTGAACTCAAGCGATTCTCCCACCTTGGCCTTGCAAAGTGCTGGGATTACAGGCATGAGTCACTGCACCCCACCAATCAGTGGTTTTCAAATGTTGTTCTGCTGAATTATTCTAGGCAATGGTTGATAGAAGTGTGCTAGCCCATCAGACCCCCTGCAGATAGGACTTGGAAAAATGCCATCCCTTTTTTTGGGGGGGGAGGGTCACGGTGTACAAAGGCTCTATACCACAGGCTCTAAAATCCCACGTTCGTTTGTTGTACCAACATTTACTGCATGTCTGTTTTGGGGACACAATAGAGTGACAGAGACATGGTCCCCGCCTTTATGGGGCTTGCTGTGCAGTGCAGACAAGGGATAATTAGAGGATCACACACGTCAAATGTTACACTTAATTAAACTGTGATGAGAAGTTGTGTTTGCCATGAGTGAATAACTTGGGGACCCAATTTTTATATTGAGGCCAAGAGGGGGCTCCTTTAGGGATATATAACAGGCTGACATCTAAAGGAGGAGTAGGAGCTTGTCCAGCAAAGAGTACAGAGAAGAGTATCCCAGGCAGAGGGAACAGAATGCCAAAGACCCTGAAATCGTGTTCCAGAAATTGTGTTCCAGGAATAAAATGAATGCTAGCGTGTCGTTGGGTTGGCAGCGCAACAAAGCAGCTCAGCAGCATGGAGATGTTTTAGCAGGAAAATGATCTGATCTGATTCATATTTAAAGATTTCTCAGGCCAGGAGTGGTGGCTCACGTCTATAATCCCAGCACTTTGGGAGGCCGAGGCGGGCGGATCACGAGGTCAAGAGATGGAGTCCATCCTGGCCAACACGGTGAAATCCCATCTCTACTAAAAATACAAAACTTAGCTGGGCATGGTGGCGCGTGCCTATACTCCCAGCCACTCAGGAGGCTGAGGCAGGAGAATCACTTGAACCCAGGAGGTGGAGGTTGCAGTGAGCTGAGATTACGCCACTGCACTCCAGCCTGGCGCCTGGCAACAGAGTGACACTCTGTCTCTAAATAAATAAATAAATAAATAAATAAATAAATAAAGATTTCTCTAGCTTCCATGTGAGGGGTGGATTAAATGGAAGGAAGGCCAGATGCGGTGGCTCATGCCTGTAATCCCAGTGCTTTGGGAGGCTAAGTTAGGAAGATTGCTTGAGGCCAGGAGTTTGAGACCAGCCTGGGCAACATAGCAAGACCCCATCTCTACAAAAAATTATAAAATAAAAAGTTAGCTGGAGGGCAGGCATGGTGGCTCACGCCTGTAATCCCAGAGCTGTGCAGAGATTGCTTGAGCCCATGGCGTCGAGACTGCAGTGAGCTGTGTTTGTGTCACTGTACTTCAGCCCAGGAAACAGAGTAAGACCCTATCTCAACAACAACAACAACAACAAAAATTAGCTGGGCATGATGACATGCACCTGTGATCCCAATTACTTGGAAGGCTGAGGTGGGAGGATCCCTTGAGCACAGACGTTTGAGAGTTTGAGGCCACAGTGAGCTATGATGGCACCATCGCACTCCAACCTGGGCAAGGGAACAAGACCCTGTCTCTAAAAATTAAATACATTAAAACAAAATAAAAAATAAAAATAAAAAGGAAGCAAGAACGGGTAATGGGGAGGCAAAACTGGAGGATCTTGCTCTAACTAGACAGAAGTGATGGTGGCTCAGACGAGGGTGATAGCACTAAATACGAGGAAAAATACATGAGATTGTTATATTTTGGAAGCAGGAGAGAATGGTATTGGGGGTGAGTAGATTCTGGGAGGTGAGAAAGAGATGCTATAAATTATTTGATGAGACATTTACATACCAGGCACTCTTGCTGGTTAGATGTAGTGCCTGGCACATGGCGGTACTCACAGACCACTTGATAAGTGAACAAATGAATGGATGCCTTAGGTTTCTGGCAGGAGTGGCAGAGTGGATGCAGCTGCCATTTAATGAGATAGGGAAGATTGGAAGAAGCACATGCTTGGGCTGGAGAGCTTGATCTCTAACTCACACATGTGAACTGTGAGACATCTATTAAGTATCCGTGAGAAGCTGGGTGCGGTGGCTCACGCCTATAATAACAACACTTTGAGAGGCCAAGGCAGGCAAATTACCTGAGGTCAGGAGTTTGAGACCAGCCTGGCCAACATGGTGAAACCCTGTCTCTACTAAAAAATATAAAAACTAGCTACGTGCCTGTAATCCTATCTCTACTAAAAGATATAAAAATACAGGTGAGTGCCTGTAATCCCAGCTACTCGGGAGGCTGAGGTGGAACTATTGCTTGAACCCAGGAGGCAGAGGTTGCAGTGAGCTGAGATCTCGCCATTGCACTCCAGCCTGGGCAACAGAGCAAGACTCTGCCTTGGGAAAAAAAAGTATCCATGAGAGATGCCACATTGGCATTTGGATGGACAGGTCTGAGTTCAGAAGGTGCTCTGTGATGTCTATTCTCTCTAGAATAGGCATGGTCATCCCTGAAAGGGCAGGGCAAGTGGACAACACTCTGCTGGGTCCCCTGCACTCATTGGGCATATGCCCTGTTACCCTGCTGTGGACCATTCAGGGAACACTGCCCAGCCTTGCCGTGCCTAGAATTTCTTTCAGATACCTGAAGCTGTGGCTCTTCCTCATAGACTAGGGGTGATCCTGGCCTCTGCTTCCACCTCAAATCCTGGGATGTCTTTATTTATTTATTTATTTATTATTTGATACAGGGTCTGGAGTGCAGTGGTGCAATCATAACTTCCTACAGCCTCAACCTCTCGGGTTTACACAATCCTCCTGCCTCAGCTTCCCAAATAGGACCACAGACACACACCACCACATCCAGCTAATTTTTAAAATTTTTGGTAGAGACAGGGTCTCACTCCATTGCCCAGGCTGGTTTTGAACTCCTGGGCTCAAGCAATCTTCCCGCCTCAACCCTCTAAAATGCTGGGATTACAGGCATGAGCCATTGAGCCCAGCCAGGATCGGTCTTTTTGGCATTTTTCTAGAGACCTCTCTGTTTCTATGAACCCCATGGCATCAGCTGATGGTGGGGGGGCAAGGGTGGTCACTTAGCTCCTTCTTCCTGCAGTTCTAGTCCCTGACAGCCCCTCTCTGCCTTTCAGGATGACCCTTTCCCTCCTGCAGGGCAGCCTCCACCAGCCTCCCTAGACCCAGGCCAGGCCACGCACAGCTTGCTGCAGTGGAGCAGGCAGTCAGCTCCGCCTGCAGCCCAGGAGTGGTAGGAAAGGGCGTGAGTGGCTTCCCACCTGGGAGGTGTGACCCGTGCCAGTCCTTATCACATCTGGAATTTTCCTCACCAAGGTCCATGTGTCTCAGAGCAGTTAGGAGCTCCAGAGTTAAACCTGGGTTGGAGCCCTGGTTCAGTCATTTACTAGCAGTGTGGCCTTAGACCTGGCCTCAGCTTTGTTTTCCTCACCTGTGCAATGGAGTTAATCAGAGTCCTGTCTCTTAGGGGGGTTGTGACTTCAAAACGTGATTCATGTGCATCAGTGGCCAAGGTTGGCCTGACCACAAAGTTTATGCATTGTTTTTTCCTTAAGACGGAGTCACGCTCTGCTGCCCAGGCTAGAGTGCAGTGGCACGGTTTCAGTTCACTGCAGCCTCTGCCACCCAGGTTCAAGCAATTTTTCTGCTTCAGCCTCCCGAGTAGCTAGGATTACAGGTGCCCACCATCACACCTGCTAATTTTTGTGTTTTTAGTAGAGACAGGGTTTCAGCATGTTGGCTAGGCTGGTCTCGAACTCTGGACCTCAAGCAATCCACCTTCCTCAACTTCCCAATGTGCCAGGATTACAGGTGTGAGTCACTGCACCCAACCTAGTTTATACTCTTTTTATTTTTATTTTTA